CATCGTAAAGGAATTTTTCGATGGACGAATATCACGTGCGTGTGTATGCGCGCGAAATTCCTGTGCTTGTTTACCAATTTTTATAGGTATGACTAGAGCAGTAGTTCATCACGAATCATTCAAGACGTCTGTTCGACTTCCTTTCACGTACAACTTCAAGGTCGACACTCATCACCGGTAGAAACGGCGACACCAAAAGTGGATGCTTATTTGTCCCACGCCCGTATTCTTTGCGTTGTAAAAGCCGTACTGTTGGAAGAACGAAGCAAAATGAGGGAAGGACTAAAACCAGAGGTGGTGTACCAAGATACACATAGCATTCATTTGCGACGATTATCGGGACCACGAGATAACTTCTGTGTGGAAATCACTTGCGAACTAAGAATGTCTACTTGAAAAGTTTTATAGTAGTACGCTTCCAAGGTCATTTCTGTAGACCAGTCCACCCAGCAGGTGGGGGAGTTTATTTCGACAAACTAATCACTAATAGGAAAATACCGCCTTGTGTTAGCAGACTCAGTTCCTGCTGGCCTCTCTTGAACATTACTGAAGCCTACTGGCATGAAGACGTTCACTGGCCAGTTCCGCCATAAGCTAACCAGTTAGCCACTTAAGAAATCGTCCTGCTCGCCCCTGGTTAACATGCGAATCCGGATAGCCACCACACCGAACAACCACTGCACCAGAAGCACCCACTCAAGTCCTTCAACCTGCTCTGTCCGTACTGTTTTTTTTTGGTACAAAATTCTCCAATCAGCTACACAGTGCGTCTTCCCGTAGGTGGTTGTAACAATCTCCTAGAATGAACTCTGGCAGATGAGCGCAAGGAAACCTTTCCTGATGACCATACGTACGATTTTCCTTTCTGTTATATCAGCTGATTCGCCAGTCTGTTGTATCTGCTGCTGACCCCACTCCAGCGCCTAATGCCGAAAAAAGGCTCACAGAAGGGAACACAACAGCTGTGTCCGAACAAACGCGTGCGAGAGCGTGAGCGAATCCGAGTGTAAGTATACAGTGGTCTGAAGCTATTGATTGGAGGGACACCGTCTGAACTTGGTCCAATGATAACGCACATCCCCCCTGCACATTGCGGGGGCGTTGCCTGACCTTGGTCAACGCTGACTCGCGCTGTCTGGGTTTGATACAAGGCCGTGAAGTGCTGCATTTGAGGGGGCGTTGTCTGTCTGGTTGACATCTAACGGAACTGAGAGTCTCAGTAGATTTTGCGCATTCAGTGGTTGCTTTCAGGAGGCTGACCTTCCTGATACCTTCTGTAAAACACAAATCTCCAAGACAGATGACGTAGCTTTGCCTCAGAGGAGATAGATGGGAAGTGACCTGAAATTCCTTGATGTTTGGTTTTTTATCACCACAACAGAAGGTGAATAGCGAAAATGCCTGAAAGCTAATTCCTCCTGGTCACACAGAGCCCATGCAGCATTGATGAAATTGTAAATAAGATCGTCCTCGTTCATCTGAAAGGGGGCCAGATGGTTCAGCGGTTAGATCGCAAGGTCCGTGGTTCGAACCCGACCTCCGCCCCTTGACTCCCTCTGTCCAGGCTTGGATAACCTGGGAGTATCCCAGCCCTCGTCCTTCCTTAAGGTGGTATGGCAACTAGGCACAGAAAGGGTGCTATAGCTGAACGATTCTTCTGAAAAGACAGCCAAGCTGATAAACCTCTGAAAAAAAGCTTACCACTCATCTAGTCAAAAAGAAATGGGGTCATGATGCTAGACGAGAATTTGCCCAGAAGATACCCATCTGGATGAAAATCTCCCTATGGAATTTACAGTAGCGTTTCTTTTTTCTGCCTTTCTCCAAACCGAATAGCAAGCTCTCTCTCAAGAGAAGGGTCATAGGCTCTTTCAGGGTGATTTTCTGTCCTCCTAAAGGGCCACCGTACAAACAAGCCAGTAGAAATCTGTGAAAGGGATAACCTGTATCTGCTTTAGTCAGTAAGTGAAATATCTTCTCGTAATACTGGAACTATTTTTCACCAGTGCAAAAGAAGTCTGAAACACCTTCAAAGAGCTTGAAGCACAAAAATTATGATTACAAAACGCTGAAATCAAGACTAGCCCTTAAGAAGGAGAACTTTTAATGCACTACTCGTAAGGTTGCTGAAAATTCGTCGACAGCCCACGACCGGTTTCGCCCTTCTTGAGGATCAACAGGTAGGCTCAGTACCCGAATTTCCGTCAACCTTATGTTCTACTTGAAACCAAATCGCACGCACGAATATGCACTCATTTGCAAACTAATTTGGTTTTCAGCAAACTTTTGAGTAGTGCATTACTAATATACATGTATCACGATATCCCCAGTATCTTTGCGACTGAAACATGAGGCGGCCTGGTTCAGCACATTCAATTGTTTGGAAACATCGCAAACGAATGCTCCAGCTGGGTTCCAGATCAGTCTCTCGAAAGACCAAATTGATTTGCAAATGAGTGTATATTCACTAAGGAGAACTTTGTTCACAGGGCTTTGCAACTTGTTTTTGATTGATTGGAGACGCCACTTGCGCAAGGGTGGCTGCCTACGATACCCGTTCTACGAGTATTTTGTGTACGGAATTAATCTTTTGCTATTTGCCAAACTGAACGTCTAAGACGGAACCCCGTAGAGTTTGTAACTCATCCCATTCGTCTCTTTCCTGCTTGAGACACACTCAGTGGGGTGTCAAGAGAAAACCAGCCAGATCATAGACAAGAAGCGTCATACCAGTCTGTCTGGCTTGCCAAAGACCATGATATCTTAAACAGTATGCTGCAGAAACACGATTCCCCGCTGTGATACAGATATAATGCGAATTCGGTTTTGCTCATCGATGGGAGATTTCCCTGGGACAGCTGAACTGGGTGGTCTACCTCTGTTGCGCGTGGTGGAATTTCTGTTGGTGTTTTGAAGCGGATAAAAAAAATTGGTGAAGCTCTCTTTTAATAAAAACTACCGACAAACTTTGCGAAAAACTCTGTTTGCAGCAGGATATCGTGCCTGAAGCATACAGACTCTGTTGGTAGAAGACAGTCAGCAAGGGTGGACAGGGGATTCCCAGTTTTGTCTATTCGGCAACTGGAGATACTCAATGGCGAGCAAATGGTTCTGATGGCTGTCTTGTATCAACTTGCATGAATGAAACTTATATAAATATGCATAGGCTAATCACATCTGAAACCATGAAAATTGGGTGTTCCAATAAACTGACTAAACTGGTGACCATTCATAGACATGACATACTACTCACAAGGCAACCATGTTCATATTGTCGGTGAAGTGTCTGATGCAAACGTTTTCTTGTCATTCTATCCTGTCTATGTTGAGGGGCCGAGAATTAGTTGTTTTATCCCTGCTAGGAATCATCAACAGTTCATACTTCACAAATATCTAGGAGAATTCAAACCTGAGATCTCCCGGTCGGTACTTAAAGACCAAGGTGTTTGACCACGAGCGGCTAAACCGCATCGTGACTAAATGGCATTCAAAGTGGATATAGCATCATTCGTACTTCGTTCAGTGCCGGGAGGCTCCTACGATGACGAACTCACTTGATGTGTAAACTGTTCGCCCTTTGGAACTGCCCAAGGGGTTAAAATTTCCCAACCTCGCTACCAAAGTGACCACGTGTGGCTCTAACGGAAGAACAATTTACACGAGAAGCCAGCCTTCCTGTCAAAACGTAAACACGTTCTATGAATCTTGTGACTTGAAGGATTGATAGCTTTATACCTTCACGAGAAGCCAGCCTTCCTGTCACAACGTAAACACGTTCTATGACTTGAAGGATTGATAGCGTTATACCCTGTCTAAAGGCGTGTCAGCTACGTTGCTGATCAGCCTTTTAGTCTTCAATCACCAGCCAGGAGGTTGAATCATCCCAGGTAGCTGATGATTCCCAGTAAGGATGAAATGGCTTAACAGTGCTTCTCACACTTTGGATGTGAAGTGACTTTGCTTGCAGATGACAACTTTTTGAACGATGTCTGACCTGCTCAACTGGTGATGCACTTTATGCTAGTCAAGGATTCGGTCGCCCAACTCCGTGGTTAGCCCCACATCTTATGGAATGCCGCAACACACGTTCGTACTTGTACAGTCGGCGAGGCCTGACCGTTAGCTTGGTTCCGGTTATCGGGCAACTGGTGCAAAGCACGGTTCCTTACCGTAGTGATGCATTCGGAGAAAACCGGTTCCTAGCAGGAACAAACAACTTGTGTAATAATGTGTAATATTGGTGGCACGAAGAACAACTTATTGTATATATTTGTAATGCACTACTCATAAGGTTGATGAAAATCCGTCGAGTGCATCCGTACTGTATTACAACTATATACATGCATCGCGATATCTTAAATATCGTAGAAACTGAAACATGAGGGGGCCTAATGAAGCACATTCAGTTGTCTGGAAACATCACAGATGAGAGGTTCAGCTGGGTCCCAGGTGAGTCTCTCGAAGAACCAAATTTGTTTGCAAATGAGTGTAAATTCGGTAACAATTTATTGTGTTTATCTTCAGCTCCAGCGCACCTCATTCGATTTAGGGTGACCAAACCTTATTTTCGACCATGTACGCTTTCCATAATCCAGGGTCCCTTGGTTCGATTCCAACTACCGTCTTGCGCGAAGCTTTAGAATATATGTCCCTAGATGTCAAGATCAGTATGTTGACCGTTTGGGAAGAGTGCCTGGCGTGGGTGACGCGATTACGAATTCCATACATCGTCCTGACCCAGCAGTACCTTTGTCTCCAATCAGGCGCTGAGGTTCTCACCATTGAAGTCAATTTCGCTAGGTGTTCCTATAGAACCTCGGGTTGTCTTAACCCTTGTTGTAGTGGCTGATTGTTGAGAAGTGTGGCCTTCGTTGATTCACTGGATAGCTGGGACTAGAATCTCAACTGAATGGCCTCTTTTGGTCAGAATCACGGATGCCTAGGTACTCTAATGATCGCGTCAATATTTGACTGTTTCTCGGCCTTCCTCTGCTCTCCAGATCTCACACACCCGATAGAGCTCCTGACGTCAACCGTCAAACCACTCTGCAGTCGAACATTTTTCTCCGGTCTGGGTGTTCCCACCATCGTTGAAGAGGAGGAGGAGGTTTCTGTAGACTACGACACGAGCCTGATGACGTCATCCATGCACAAGCCAGCGTCGGAATATCTGGACGGTCCTCCAGTCGCAACCGGGCACCATTTGACACAGGAGACACCCGAAGAGGATTACCCACTTCTGCGTCCAGACTACTTTGTAAAGTAGGTTGGGGAATTTTGTCCGGTGCACTACTCTTCAAACTAAATAAAAAGTTTGCGTTTGACTTTGAGACCACTAAATTCTGAGAGCACTTTCCTCCAAACAGTTCATCCTACCAATCTATTGGTTTTTTCAATATGGTTTACTTAGCGTTCTTTGTTGTTGTGGAAAGCGTTGCAATTGTTGACAAACAGGTGGCCATTACTGAACAGACATGTGAGATCACCTGCGCATTTATACAAGGATCTCAATTATGTCAAACTTGACAGCCAATTTGGCCGGTAATTTCCATTTTCTTAAACTTACCTGTCATTTCCATGGGGGGAGGTGTTGGCTCACTTCACCATCAGAAAGTAAGGCAAGCAGACAGTTGTGGATAATTGAATTTTCGATCGATAGGCAAGTCCAGTGGAATGTAATGGGTTGAAACTTCATTTAGACTTGCAAGCATGACAAGTCGAATGTGTTACCACGGGTCAGGAATAAAGACAAAACCCCCACGTTAGAAAAACTATCATGCCAAGAGCCATTAGTTGATTTCTTTGACATGCACCATTTCACGTGCATGACAACCAGGCTAGCCTGTTTGGTACGTCTTTCAGAAAGGCAAAAACAGCAGGTGTTACTTTCATTTCCGCCCACCTCTAACAAAGCCGACTGTCGAGTTACTTTTCAGACCTAGATGCTAATCACTCTCATTGGTTAGAACTTTATCCCATCGTTACCAGATTATTATGGTTGTTGTTTGGGGTGTGATGAGATTTTTGAAAGTTTAAATGAAAATTTCGTCCTGTAAGTGCAGTCAGCCCACGCTAAGAAAAAACTTACAGTTGTTCAATCCTTATTGAGAATCGTCAGTGGAGTGTATTGCACTAGCAGTTGAAGTCTAAATCGGTCAGCTGATCGCCAATATGAGTACAGGTGTTCCACTCAGAACTCATCTCTAGGTGCACACGAACTCAGATCAAGTTAGTTTAACGGTTATGAAGCATGAAGCATCTGAGCTGTTGAATGTGTTCACGCCCGATCGATACTTCTCATCAGCTCAGAGGACGAAACGGTACCTAACTGGTTTGCGTCAAATCCAACCGGTCAGGTGGAGGGTTCAACGTTTCACTAAATACTCGGCTAGCAGCAGGCTGTACAAGCACATCAGGGAACGTTGTACGCTTGTCTGAATTACAAACATACAGTCATTGGTCTAGTTTAGGATCTGTACGCACCTTATCGCCCTCAGATGAGATCAGGGATACTAACATACGATGGGATTTTTTCAGGCTAACTACAAATTCCTCGATAAGTTTTGAATTTCCGTCTGTGCCAACTCTTTTTTGTACGGATGTTTCTACCGACAGTTCGCATTATCCTGATCGCTTTTGATGGGGGCTGAAATTAGTCACATGAATCTACCACCAGGTTTAGTTGCATCGATGAATCACTGACTTCTTAGAGTGTTTTTCTAATAACTTACCGGTCCCATTCTCACGACTCTCAACATTTCCAAGACACACACAAGCTCAGTTATTAAAAGGCAAACCTACTGACCCGAAGGTCCATGGTTCGAACCCACCCGCAACACCTTGACTGCTACTGTCTGGGCCTCGTCAACCCGCATGCTTCCCTCGAGGGTGGTAAGACAGCTTCGAAGGCGTTTTGACTAAACGATTGACTGATTTGATAATGAGTTTAAGCGCTATCTTTTGACCTAGTGCATACTTGTATAGTGATTAGGTGAACCAGCCTATTACGCGACTGTTTAGTCAGTTCATTCTAGATGAAGGAAAACTTACGAGGATGTATTCACTGACCCCCTTATTACCGGATGATGCAAACCCTGGCAAGTATTGCACTTAATAAGAGTAAGAAACTAAGCAGAGCGGAGCATGAACGGGAAAGCTGTACGTTAGTTGTTACCATTAATGTCAGCTGCGCTGGTTATTGCCGTCGTCCAAGGTCCCAAGACGGGCCACATCTATGGTTGGAGACATTGTCAGACACGGCCCAGTCGCGCCCTTCAATGGTGCTCATGCATCCAAGCTATTGCTTTCAGTGCGTAGCTTCCTTCCCAATCCCCGAAGACCCGCACCAATATATCAGCACCCGCCTCTACCCCATCTCCCCAAATCATCGGTGGACGAAACGGTACGATCGATCCGCGGTTCTTTCAACTGATGTTAGCAGAGGTCATCTGACGTAGCCAACGCATTATGTAAGGGGGCAGTAGATATTAGACAAGTTTATCTGGAGAGATTGAGCAGATTCTTTTCCGTGCGAACCCAAACTTTCTGCTTGATTCCAATACAGAACACAATGCAAGATATTCTGGTAGGGTCATCTTCGTTCCACATCGTGTTGATAGCCTAGCGAAAAACATACTCCCCACTAAAAGTGACATTTTCGACGTATGGTTTCTCCAGGGGGTTTGGAAACGCTGTCTTCTCCCTCTGCACAAGAAACTTTCATATGAAAGTCATGTTGAAGAACGAAACGAAATTGAGGATTCTTGATTCTTCACGCTGTAGATATGGTAGTTCCTCAATGTGAAAGATATCCATGTGGGAATTATTTTTTGGAAAAAGTGTAGGCCGTTTACTTAGTCTGGCGACGTTCGCATTTGATATTAACAACGTCTTCAGTGATCGAACGGAATACACTGTGCCTAATCAGTAAAGAGGACATCATTTCAGGAATGTATAAAAGTTACATCTATGGTGTTGAATCGAATTCACTTACTCGAGTCCACCCACCAAATGAACTGAGTTACGCTCATCGGAGAGAATAATTTCTGTGGTGTCGAATTCACTTACTCGAGTCCACCCACCAAATGAACTGAGTTACGCTCATCGGAGAGAATAATTAACTGACCGCTTAGTTCAATTCCAATGTGGCACCATTCCTCCAAATAGTGACATCACATTTTGGTGGACTTACAGATGAGTACGCTGAGTTACTTGTGCTTCTTTGGGGTGTACAGCAAACGAAATATGGCGAGCGCAAGATTTCTTCTCGGTCATTGAGTATGACAGGTTCTCGCGGAATACAATTGTCAGAAAAGAAGGTTCAGATGCTACGGAAAAGGCTTTTCACGATAAAGCACCCCGATTCGGTATTGGGGGGCAAGGCAGGTTATGAGAAACTTGTTGCGACAGCAAGCTGAGAGCTTAGGGGAGAAGTTCATTCACTCTAAGTGCTCCGTTGTTTTGAGATGTCTCAGGAAGGGCAAATGAGTTACTGTAAAGTGGTGAATGGATCAAATGTTGTGGAGCGGCATTGTGCCAGCATAAAATGCCTACTCCGGAGAGAAAAAATCCTAGAAAGGCTTAATTATAATGCTTTGATAAGATAGCGCTGACAATTTTCCAATGAGAAATGAAGCTTAGCATGGCACCGCGGTTGAATCAAAAGAAATGATGATTCAGCCTGGAAAGTATCTCAGGTTGTCGCTTACCACGTTTGATGATCGGTTGCACGGTTCGTACAGTCCTTTCTCGCCAGTTAACATCCTACAGAGTTTGGACAACACATACTAATCTATGCTGAGAAGCCGAGAGGCACTGTGCAGCTGTTTCATCCTTATTGAGAATCATCAGCAGTGCGCATCTCACGAAACTCCGAAGAGTCTCGAACCCGCGACC